CGCGTCCTGCACCCGAGGCGATCCCCGGGTGCCACCTCGCGTCCTGCACCCGAGGCGATCCCCGGGTGCCACCCCACGTCCTGCACCCGGGGTTATCACCGGGTGCCACCTCCCGTCCCCAGACCCCTTTAGGAGCCGTAACGCCCCTCCCCGCGTCCTGCACCCGGGGCGATCCCCGGGTGCCCTCCCCTGTGACCGGCCTGCCATACAGGCCTTGTCCTCAACGCTTCGGGTTTAGAAGTTTTCGAATTTCAGGATTCCTGGTGCGAAAACGTCGAATTTCAAAGATTTAGAAGTTTAAAGATCTCAAGGTACGAAATTTTCGAAATTGGTGAGACTGTGAAGTTTAAAGATTCGAGATAAGCAGTTTCGCACTATCAGAGTTGAACCTGAAGTGCAAAGACTTCTTATCCCGAAGTCTTTGAATTCCGCAGACTGACCAATTCCGAGGCCTCCGCACCCTGCGATCTTCGAACTTCGAAATCTACGAAGTTCGAAGTTTTCGTACCTGGATGTTCTGGAATTCGACGTCTTCCAACCCTGAAGTGTTCGGACTGGAAGTCTTCGGATCCCGGAGTCCGCTGATTCGTTCCCTCGATGTCCAACGATGTTGTAGTGGTCCTGATGCACTCCTGCGATGATAATGATGCCTTAGCCGACTCCAAAAGGATTACATGTCCATACCCGGTCCTGGGTTGTTTTCTACATTGGGGATATCTGGCTGGTCTCAAAATGTTGTCTTGATAACTAAACAGAAAGAAAAGATTTAAGTTAAATTTCACTACTAGAATAGAAAAACAGAAAAAATTAAAAAGTGTTTTAATTGAAAAGGTTTTAAATAAAGGGAAGGAAGTTTTTAAAGGTAAATACTATTAATGTAGGCACCGCAAGTTAGACAAAAGATACAGTTCGAGAAGAAAAGGAAAGTAAAATGAATTTAACTAAAGATAATAATTTAAAAGAAAGTTTTGCGAATAAGTTTAAGGTAAGTAATTACTTACATAAAGAACAAAATATAATTTATGGCAGTTATAATAAAATTGAATTCAAAATCGCCAAAATTTAAGTATAATAGTTAATCAAGAATCAAAGTTGAGTGATAATATATTAGTCGATTCCAATTTTAGTTAGCAAATAGTAACATATCTTTTAACTACCATTTTAATCAATTATACCTGTCTATGAATATATAATATATACTTACATGCCAATTCCTAATCCTTAGTTTACTCCTCATCTCCAACAGGTTCCATGACCATCTTTAATCCTGGGAAGTTTTGTAGATTGCAGGACTCAGTTATGCATTGATAACTAAAAAGGGAAAATATTTAAGTTCAAGTCAAGGATAAGAATTTAAAAAAAGGATAGATTAAAGAGCACCTCAATGTAAAATAAAAAGTTTTAAATAAACTTAAAATTAAATGAAAGGAAGGGAGTTTTGAGAGTATTGAAAGTAAATACATGTAAGTGTAGGTTCAACAAAACATACATTTTGAGAAAAAAGTCCTAATGTGGAAAAAAAGACAGTATAAATTAACTTAAGTAAAATTGAGTGGTTATTTTAGTTTTACAAATAGTAACATACGTATTAACTGTAATTTTAATCAACCTATGCCTATGAATAATTAATATATACTTACATGCCAATTCCTGATTATATAATCAGCCTTAGTTGAATACACATAGCCAATATGCTCGATGCTCATCTTTAATTCTGGGCAGTTTTGCAGATTGCAGGACTCAGCCTTGTCCCAATGCTCTGCCTTGATAACTAAAAAGAGAGAAAATATTTAAGTTCAAGTACAAGAAAGGATTTAGAAAATGGATAGATGCAAAAACGCCTTATTGTAAAAGAAAAGGTTTTAAATTAACTTAAAGTTAAATGAAAGGAAGGAAGTTTTGAAAGTATTGAAGGTAAATACATCTAAGTGTAGTTGCAAAGAAATAAACAAAAGATACATTTTGAGAAAATGACCTAAAGTGAAAAAAAAGAAAGTATAAATTAACTTAAGTAAAATTGAGTGATTATTTGATAAAAGTCAATTCTAATTTTAGTTTTACAAATAGCAATATACGTATTAATTGTAATTTTAATCAACCTACGCCTATGAATATTTAATATAAACTTACTTGCTAATTCCTGATCCATGGTTGACTCTTCATCTCCAACAGGTTCGATGCCCATCTTTAATCCTGGGCAGTTTTGCAGATTACAAGACTCAGTCTTGTCCCAATTTTTTGCCTGGATAACTAAAAAGATAGAAAATATTTAAGTCCAAGTCCAGCATAAAAATTTAAAAAAAGGATAGATTAAAGAAAGTCTCAATGTAAATAAAAAGTTTTAAATAAACTTGAAATTAAACGAAAGGAAGGGAGTTTAGAAAGTATTGAAAGTTAATACATCTAAGTGTAGCTTCAGGATGTAAACAAAAGATACACTTTGAGAAAATACATATAAATTAACTTAAGTAAAACTGAGTGATTATTTGATAAGAGTCGATTATAATTTTAGTTTTACAAGTAGTAATATACGTCTTGAATGTAATTTTAATCAACTCTACCTGCCTATGATTATATAATATATACTTACATGTCAATTCCTCCTCGTGATGCTTACTTGACTCAGCATCTCCTATAGGTTCGATGCCCATTTCTAGTCTTTTGGACAGATTGCGGGACATGGTTTTGTCCCACGGTTCTGCCTTGAAAATAATTAAAAAGTATTTAAGTTCAAGTCCAGTGTATGAATTAAAAGAAAGGAATGATTAAAATGTCTTAGTGTAAAAGAAAAAGTTTTAAATAAATTTAAAATTAAAGGAAAGGAAAGGAGTTTTGAAAGTAAATGTATTTAAATGTAGCTCCAATAAATTGATTGAATAAGTTGATTCTAATTTTAGTTTTACGAATACGTTTTAACTGTAATTTTAATCAAGTGTGTGTGCCAATAAATATATTATATATGTATACTTACATGTCGATTCCTGGTCTTGAAGCTTAGTTGATTCCAGATCTCTAATAGATTCGATGTCCGTCACTAATCCTGGGTTATTTTGCACATTACGGGATCTCGTTTCAAAGTCTTGCCTTGATAATTAAAAAGAAAGAAAATATTCAAGTTAAAATCCAATATAAGAATTCAGAAAAGGAAAGGTTAAAAATACTTAATGTAAAAGAGAAAGGATTTAAATAAAGGTAAAATTAAATGAAAGGAAGGGAGTTTTGAAAGTAAACACATCTAGAGGGGCTACAAGAAATTAGACAGAAGATACATTTTGAGAAAAATCCTTAAAGTGAACAAAGAGAAAGTAAAAATTAATTTAGCTAAAATTCAGTGATTGTTTTTTAACTGTAATTTTAATCAACTGTATCTACTATCTACCTATGAATATATAGGTAATATGTACTTACATATCAATTCCTGCGAGTGATGCTTTAGTTGACTTTAGATCTTTAATAAGTTCGATTTTCATCTTTAGTCCTGGGTAGTTTTGTAGATTTCAGGGCGCATTCTTATTCCAACGTCCTGCCTTAAAGACTAAAAATATATTTAAGTTAAAGTTTAGTACGTGAATTATAGAATTAATACAAAAACAGTTTTGAAGAAAAGCATTAAATTAAACCAAAAGAAATAAAAGATGAAACACAAGCTTTAATAAATTAAACAAATACAGTTTTGAGTCCTGAGGTGAATGCAAAAAGAGTGAACACTTGAAAATTAAAACAAAATTCTTTCAAATCAATGAAAATAAAAACAGTGCTTTAAGAAAAAGAAAGAAATTAAAAAAAAAAAAACAAAAGACAAATAATGTTAAAGAAAGTTAAAAGAATTCTAAGACAAAGGTTTAACCCAAGTAAAAGGAAAGAAAAGAAGAAGTAAGAATAAAATATATTAATACATACCATACATTGATCTTCCTTGTTTTGGATGAAACGGGCTGATTGGACTAAGCCTCGATTCTTCCCTTGTCAATGTCCAATGAAGTCCTGGTAGTGCGGAAGACTCGATGACCTGTAATTTGCATATCTCCATTGGGTCCGATTAATCCATTATTGACACTGGGAAGTTTCACAACGTCTGCTGCTCTGGCTTGTATCGATTTCAAACTCTGGTTACTAAAAAGAAAATAATATAAAAATAAGCCTAATGTAGAGAAAAGGGATGATTATGTAAAAAAGTAGGAAGAATTTAATGGTGCCTTCAGCTTTCCAGTGCGATTTCAAATAAGTCCGCTACTGTATTATTTATGGTTAAAATTAAGAAAACGGTGTAGACGGAAAAAAGCGCACGTTAAATTACGATTAGATGCAAGGTACCTACACAAGTATAAAAAGGGATGTTAATGTAAAAAAGTACGTAGAATTTAATGGTGCCTTCAGATTTCATGTGCGATTTCAAATAAGTCCGCTACTGAATTATTTATGGTTAAAATTAAGAAAACGGTGTAGACGGAAAAAAGCGCACGTTAAATTACGATTAGATGCAAGGTACCTACACAAGTATAAAAAGGGATGTTAATGTAAAAAAGTACGTAGAATTTAATGGTGCCTTCAGATTTCATGTGCGATTTCAAATAAGTCCGCTACTGAATTATTTATGGTTAAAATTAAGAAAACGGTGTAGACGGAAAAAAGCGCACGTTAAATTACGATTAGATGCAAGGTACCTACACAAGTATAAAAAGGGATGTTAATGTAAAAAAGTACGTAGAATTTAATGGTGCCTTCAGATTTCATGTGCGATTTCAAATAAGTCCGCTACTGAATTATTTATGGTTAAAATTAAGAAAACGGTGTAGACGGAAAAAAGCGCACGTTAAATTACGATTAGATGCAAGGTACCTACACAAGTATAAAAAGGGATGTTAATGTAAAAAAGTACGTAGAATTTAATGGTGCCTTCAGATTTCATGTGCGATTTCAAATAAGTCCGCTACTGAATTATTTATGGTTAAAATTAAGAAAACGGTGTAGACGGAAAAAAGCGCACGTTAAATTACGATTAGATGCAAGGTACCTACACAAGTATAAAAAGGGATGTTAATGTAAAAAAGTACGTAGAATTTAATGGTGCCTTCAGATTTCATGTGCGATTTCAAATAAGTCCGCTACTGAATTATTTATGGTTAAAATTAAGAAAACGGTGTAGACGGAAAAAAGCGCACGTTAAATTACGATTAGATGCAAGGTACCTACACAAGTATAAAAAGGGATGTTAATGTAAAAAAGTACGTAGAATTTAATGGTGCCTTCAGATTTCATGTGCGATTTCAAATAAGTCCGCTACTGAATTATTTATGGTTAAAATTAAGAAAACGGTGTAGACGGAAAAAAGCGCACGTTAAATTACGATTAGATGCAAGGTACCTACACAAGTATAAAAAGGGATGTTAATGTAAAAAAGTACGTAGAATTTAATGGTGCCTTCAGATTTCATGTGCGATTTCAAATAAGTCCGCTACTGAATTATTTATGGTTAAAATTAAGAAAACGGTGTAGACGGAAAAAAGCGCACGTTAAATTACGATTAGATGCAAGGTACCTACACAAGTATAAAAAGGGATGTTAATGTAAAAAAGTACGTAGAATTTAATGGTGCCTTCAGATTTCATGTGCGATTTCAAATAAGTCCGCTACTGAATTATTTATGGTTAAAATTAAGAAAACGGTGTAGACGGAAAAAAGCGCACGTTAAATTACGATTAGATGCAAGGTACCTACACAAGTATAAAAAGGGATGTTAATGTAAAAAAGTACGTAGAATTTAATGGTGCCTTCAGATTTCATGTGCGATTTCAAATAAGTCCGCTACTGAATTATTTATGGTTAAAATTAAGAAAACGGTGTAGACGGAAAAAAGCGCACGTTAAATTACGATTAGATGCAAGGTACCTACACAAGTATAAAAAGGGATGTTAATGTAAAAAAGTACGTAGAATTTAATGGTGCCTTCAGATTTCATGTGCGATTTCAAATAAGTCCGCTACTGAATTATTTATGGTTAAAATTAAGAAAACGGTGTAGACGGAAAAAAGCGCACGTTAAATTACGATTAGATGCAAGGTACCTACACAAGTATAAAAAGGGATGTTAATGTAAAAAAGTACGTAGAATTTAATGGTGCCTTCAGATTTCATGTGCGATTTCAAATAAGTCCGCTACTGAATTATTTATGGTTAAAATTAAGAAAACGGTGTAGACGGAAAAAAGCGCACGTTAAATTACGATTAGATGCAAGGTACCTACACAAGTATAAAAAGGGATGTTAATGTAAAAAAGTACGTAGAATTTAATGGTGCCTTCAGATTTCATGTGCGATTTCAAATAAGTCCGCTACTGAATTATTTATGGTTAAAATTAAGAAAACGGTGTAGACGGAAAAAAGCGCACGTTAAATTACGATTAGATGCAAGGTACCTACACAAGTATAAAAAGGGATGTTAATGTAAAAAAGTACGTAGAATTTAATGGTGCCTTCAGATTTCATGTGCGATTTCAAATAAGTCCGCTACTGAATTATTTATGGTTAAAATTAAGAAAACGGTGTAGACGGAAAAAAGCGCACGTTAAATTACGATTAGATGCAAGGTACCTACACAAGTATAAAAAGGGATGTTAATGTAAAAAAGTACGTAGAATTTAATGGTGCCTTCAAATTTCATGTGCGATTTCAAATAAGTCCGCTACTGAATTATTTATGGTTAAAATTAAGAAAACGGTGTAGACGGAAAAAAGCGCACGTTAAATTACGATTAGATGCAAGCTACCTACACAAGTATTAAAGGGGATGATTATGTAAAAAAGTACGCAGAATTCAATGGTGCCTTCAGATTTCGAGTGCGATTTCAAATAAGTCCGCTACTGAATTATTCATGGTTAAAACAAAGAATACTGAGCAAAACGGAAAAAAGCGCACGTTAAATTACGATTAGATGCAAGCTACCTACACAAGTATTAAAGGGGATGATTATGTAAAAAAGTACGCAGAATTCAATGGTGCCTTCAGATTTCGAGTGCGATTTCAAATAAGTCCCCTACTGAATTATTTATGGTTAAAACAAAAAATACTGAGCAAAACGGAAAAAAGCGCACGTTAAATTACGACTAGATGCAAGCTACCTACCCAACTATTAAAGGGGATGATTATGTAAAGAAGTACGTAGAATTTAATGGCGCCTTCAGATTTTGAGTGCGATTTCCAATTGTTAACGAAATTCAGGTTTAATTTTTGTGTAGGGATCTATACGAAAATTTTTTGTATGAATTCATTTCAAGAATTTTAACTCTTAGTTGTATAATAATGGTAATAGCAATTCTAAAAAAAATATTTGTACCAGTAAAAAATTAGGATAGAAATTTATTTAATATACTTCTCCTGTCCGCCTACAATGAAACGATTCTCAATAAATTAATTCATACACAATTTCCAGTGTCTATTTTACACATACACACACAGCAGATTTCTCGAGCCAGATACGCAAGGTTACTGAAATGTCCAGCTAAAAAAGCGTCCGTGATTAGAACGAAGACGAAAACAGATAAGATTACAAACCGCTTTACAATTGGAGCAATAGAATCAAGTTTCTTTAAAATGTAGAAATAAATCATAATATATCTACTATTAGAAATACTGTAGAAAAATAATAACTAGGTATCTATATGGACAAATGAAAAACCTTTTGTAATCTAGTAAAGAAGTAAGTAAGGAAGTAAGAGAACAGTACACTTAGATAAAAACAATTTTCAAGAAATTTCCATAACGTAATATGTTTTTTAAAATTTAAAGGTTCGTACTACTAGTAAATGAGAAAATAAATGAAATATGCAGTTCTTTTATGTTACAAATGTTTTTTAATCAATACATAACAGATACTATAAATTTAAAGTGTAGGAAGTTCGTGAATAATCTAAAATTACAGGCACATAATAGCGTATAAACGGAAGTCAAAAAAAACTTATTAAACATCACTGACAGAAAAGCTCATATACCCAAGTAATAAATATTTCCGAGAGCTAATTGTAGATTTAAAATTAAAAAAAATATATTAAACAGTCAGAACTTCGAACAATTAAATAATAACAATAATAGTTATGACCCTATAAATAACAAATTATATTCGATCGTTTGTAAAGATACACTCAGTTTTGGTTAATTAGTGTCCTAAATCACAGTAGTAAAAAGAATACAGGGTGTCCCAAGCAAACGGGTTTCTTCAATAATTGCTTTATAGTTGAAAATATCAAAAATAATCTTACAAGAAACTTATGAAATCTTCAACGATAAAGCAGTTATTAGTTATTGAAAAAAAATCCGCTTGCTTGGGACACCCTGTATAAATATTACATGTAAATTATTAACGAATAATAAAGAACATTAAAAAAAAAGATCAAAAATATATCAATTTGCTTGAAGAAATTGAAATTAGGAAAGCATTTAAACAAAAAAAAACATTGCAAAACAAGAATAATTTTGGGTTTTTTCGTCAGTAATGTTTCTTATTTTTTATAATATTATTATAGCTGCAATTTTAGAATTTAAGAACTTTATAAGTATACTTTGAATCTTTAGTATCAATTACGTACTCCTGGAAAAAAGGCATCAAATCCGAAACGATTTTGTAGATAAAGGTTTTCTTATCCATAATAATTTAATAAAAATCTTTGAACTGATCATTGCAATTAAAAATGGTCAGATAAATAGCAAAAATAATCATTGCTAAGTAACAGTTTCGGTAATTTAGTACTGTTACGTTAGGATAACACTGATCAGACCAAAAATATTTTATTATGATCACACTTTGAAATGTTAGACAAAAAAGTCATCTGAGAACAAAGGATATAAAAACTGCTTATCTACAGCAACAAAATAACGATTGTATTAAATTCATTATTTCCTACCTTGTCCATTCATTTGTTTAAAAGTTAATCCTTCTATGCAACATTTTACGTATGAAAGCACAAACTCGCGCTACCGAATTAAATTCCATTAAAAAGCAAATTTCATAAGCACAACGTTCGATGATAACAAGGTGACTACAACGATAATACATTAGCGACTGCGATATATCATCATGTACCATTGTGTACGATCCCATTCGATTGACATCGGCCTAGCTGATTAAATTATCTGGAGGTCACGGTACGCTACGTTAATATAATTATTGAACAACTTAAATTAATATATTTTTATAAATAAAACAGCAACACTAAATTATGGTAAAAATAATACTCACAAAACATGATAAAAAAATTAGTTATTAAAAAAATTCAACAAAATAAAAGCTAAGAACATTTTGTATACTTATTAGGACACAACGAATCACAATCATCAACTATTTTGAAATTAAAATACCCACTATTTGTTCATGTAATTTTTGGGGTAAATATAAAAATAAAATCTACTTGTACCTTGCAGAATATCTGCAGATGTATNGTGCACGATGTGTTGCATACCTATTTACAAACAATTCCTTTAAATTTTAATCATTGATTACTATACATCTATTAAAAAACCATAATGGCCGACATCAGTAACAATGCAACAACAATTGAAAAAGAATGATGGCCGACAACTGCAACAATTAGAAAAGAATGATGGCCGACACTACGTCATAATGGAGCAGTAAAAATGTCCAGGGCAGGGAGAAGAACTAATATTTTAACAAATGCAATTGAAAACAAAAGAAAAACACAACAGACTGATGCATCAGTAATGATTTTTTTAATACGTCAAGGTGTCAACATTTTTCTGTTAATTTAATAAGAATGAACGCTGTTAATACTAAACGAATAATGAAACGATTTTTAAAAGTTCCTTCCATTATGAAAAATCGCAACTTTGATAAATTGGAAAAATTTTATGTTCTTTCAGATTTATGTGGCTCGGTTGCAACTATAAAAACTTCTGCGACAAATAGAAACGTACCGAGACTAGTTCGGCAAGAGCCTGGAAAAGTTGTTTGTGGATTTATCCCCCAAGAATATTTCTTAGCATTTCATTCAAGAACAGGAGTTACAGGCTTTCCTACATTTCTTTTTACTTTTGGAACTTTCCTGGCTAGCAAAGAATATTATGTGCTGGAACATGATTTTTATGTTGGTATATCGTTTGCGCTATTGTGGATTATAATTGTAAAAAAAATTGGACCCGATTTCGCAAAAAGCATGGACAAAGAAATAGATGACTATGAGAATGCTTGGAAAACCAGTAGGGAAACAGAGAAAAAGTTTTATGAAGATACAATTGCTGAGGAACAGAAGAATCAAGAAATGGCAGAAGGCGAACTTCTTTTACTGGAAGCTAAACGGTTTAATGTCGCATTACAACTCGAACAAGAATTCCGTAAGCGCCTACATATAGTTTATGTAGAAGTCAAAAAACGTTTAGATTACCAGGTATGTTATAACTGTCTATCTGTCACAGCGGTTTTTCTTGAAAACTATTAAACATACAAATTTATAACTTGATTTAGTGATAGTATAGAAGTATTTTTCGTTTGAAGTTCAAAAATATTGGAATTTCCTTTTAATCTGAGTAGCATATCATTCAAAATATAAATAAAATAATATAAATATCACAATAACAATAAATAAAAGTTTCGTTTATCCCTATCCTATGTACTTACTTTTCGAAACTAAGGTACAAAAGACTGCAGGACTACTGGTAACGTGTACATGTACTTTGATAAAGTAAGCGTAAGCCAAACTAACACTTCCCCATTACTTTTTTTTTATTTGTTCTTGTGGTATAAGAACCCATAATTTGTTAATATGAAATATAATGTTGGATAACTCGCGATAGTACCTCCTATATATGTAGACACATACAGCCCTAAAATGGGTTTGAAGCCGACGACACTTAAATATTATTTTCTACTTATTAATTTCTCTTATATTTTAACAGGTAGCTCTCGCAGCTGTTGAACAATTGTTTTTGCGCAAAAATATAGCAGATTGGGTTGAGAAAGAAGTAAGAAAAAGCTTTACTGCTGAGAAAGATCAAGAAATGATTAACCATTGTTTACAAACGTTACCTGAAATTCTTAAGAGCGAAGGCTTGTGAAATGAATATTATTTTATGTGATGCCCACATGTACTTAATTATTTATAGTAACTTCTTTTACAATTTAATTGCGCCAATTTGTATTTTATTTCTTAATAAATTTTGATAAATAAATAATAAGCGATACAAGTGTTTTTCCAGAATGAGAGGGAATTTGACACAAATTCAAAAATGTACAATTTATTTCAATTACTATAAATAGATGAACTACAAAAATATTATTACATAAATTAATAGACAGGGTAAAAAAAAGAAAAAAACAATATGGGGAAAGGAATCATGTGCATCACTTCAATATTACATATGATGGAAAAATATCAATAGTGTATATAATGTATATCTAAAACAGAGTAATTAATTTTAAGTTAAAACAGTAAGCGACAGCCACCCTCTTTCTGTCTGTCTGTCTTTATGTACACATTTAACAATCACAAATCTCGCATTGTAGCAATGTTATTTCATTCGCTTTCTTTTTGCGGTCGTTGGCCTGTCTTCTTCATCTTCATTATCTTCTTGCATTTCTTCTGGCAATTTTAGGCCCAGATCTTTCGCTTTTTTTATGAAAAACCTCAGTAATCTTGAACCACACCTAATAAAACAACGTATGAAAATAATCTGCTTTCTACTGAAATTATTTAATTTAAATGAAAATGATTATATATAAAAAAAATTATGAGTGCTCTCAGCACAGGAGCAGTTATAGATAAATGAATGTTAGTATCAGCAATGCTGAAGTGTACGATGTGTTGCATACCTATTTACAAACAATTCCTTTAAATTTAATTTTTTAAACAATTTTTAACCCAAAGAAAGTAATTAAACAAATTGTTCACAAAAGTGAATTTCGACCACTCGAAGCAATGGTACAATTTCATGCTCACAGTGACTGATAGGGGGGGAAGAACTAGCAATTAATGAAGTTTTAATTTTCTGTGTGTTCCACATTTAAGTTTAAAAAACTGTCAAACATATCTTTTCGCTTTAAAAATTAGTTTAATTCAATTTGTAAACATAAAATCAAACTTAAAAACGAAAAATTGAAAAAACTTATGCTTACTTTGCCACTTCGGAGTCAGAGTCGTTATATACATTGCAATTTTCGAAAACTAGAACAGCATCGGCCATTAATTCTGCGTCGCACTTGTATTCGCCCATGTTTAGTTTGTATTTGATTGTACCGAAGTCCATTGGTTTAGTAATTATTTCATAATAATCAGGTACCTTAACGATAAAAAAAGTTATAGTTAATGACTTCCCAAATAATAAATTAATAGTTACTTCGTTTTTCTTAACAGGCGCCATAAAAGGCCAGCATTCTTCTTTTTTTAAGACATCAGATAGTAGTTCTTGCAAGGCAACATTATGTAGGGGTAGATCTTCTCTCGAATCTGTTTCTCTACGATTTGCCCTTCTACTTGACGGAAGGTCTTCTTCTGAATCTAAGTAAGATAAAACAAATTCATTAAGTCAGATGTACAATAAAAACCGTTTGTAAACGATATTTAATTATAATTATTTAAACATCATTAAGCAGTGGTTTACAAGGAAGGCCAAATTTACAAATTTCATTTGGAATATTATCTTTGATGTTTCTAGAAAGTACATAATTTACGTTCTGTAGCGATTTACTTTTCCTACGTATAAAAGAATCACTTGTGAACAAAGAATCTTATAAAATAGTATATATACTATACTTCACCAACGCCCACATCAAATCAAAACATTTGAATTGCTTTGATATAATAATATTTCACCATGAAGGAACGGCAAATATTATTATATCTTACTAAAAGATGTTCAATTAAATAAGTTTACATATTAGTGAAAGTACGAACTACTGCCTAGTACAAAAAAACATGCAACTTTGCAAGTTCCAACACACAGGGCATAAAATGCGTCAGAAGAAATACTACAAGCACATCAGGCATTCCCTGTAATACTTTAACATGCTTAAAAAGGTAAACAATTTATACACTAAAACTAAAAGGCCCAACCACAACCATAACAAATGTTTGCAATGTTTAAGGGATTGATAAACTTTAGACAGAAAGAAATTTTATTAACTACTTAATTCATTTCATACTATTTAAGAAAGCTAATAACCGGGAACATTCTAACATAAGAACAATAAAAATGCCTAATTTCTCCATTAGATGTTTATACAGAGTGATAATTTACATTTGGAAATTCATTTATGTAATTAAAAAAAGATGCAAAAAACACTGAAACTAATTTACCATGAAATCAACGAAATGCATGAGAGTAACAATGACAATAATATGAACACTTGCATTTGAAATTGCGTAAATTTTGGAATACCTTGATACTGCTCTTTTTATTAATTTGTAAAGTTTTTATATAATCTGACTACAATACATATAGTACATAAATAATCCTTTTGTATTTATTGTGCTAACGACGTACTGAAATGCACGATACAATACTTGGCTATGCAAAACGAAACGAACATAAATTTTCTAATTACATGAAAAAAAGTACAACACGAATGCGTAACAATAACTTGACCTGTCAATTAGGAATGCTTGATTTTGATAAACGTAAGCTGAATGCTGAAATGATCATTTCGTATGTTTATTACTAACCGATCGAGTCGCCAGTCTCTGAGCCGGAATCAGAGATCCTACGCAGTGTCTTAGCGAATCCGTGGATCATATGTCGGGCCTTTGCGGCGCAGCGCCTCAAGCTTGTCGCTGTTGGCTGAACTGCTCGCCCATTTGCATAGTCCACGTCTTTGCACACACAATATAATATAAATAATTAACAACTCAATTATTAATATAATTATTATAATAAAGTTCTTTCTGAATAATCTAATTATAATTGTAATTATACATAGCAGCTGTCGATTTTCCAGTAAAATAAATGTATTAAATAACGAAAAACTTACCATAGTCTCTCTTTTTTTTCGTTTTGCATCTTCTACAAAACCATTGACCTCTTGGTACGCGTCGAAGTGGAGGGGCTACACATTCTAAATGGTACATGTCAGGACAGTTGTCGCAACAAAGCAGTTCTCCCCCTGATTTACATGTCTGACATACCTCAATGATAGCGTGACCTAAAATAACAAAAAAATATATTTAAAGATGTTTTTTAATAAACATAAAATGAAAGGAAAAGCGTGCAATAGCAAAACATCAAACCCTGATCAAAGCNTTGATAAGCAAAAACAAAATTGAAAAAGTGGTTTCTGTTTTACTTTTTAATAATACAATACAATATTAATTATTTTTGTTTTAAATTAGCACCCGGAAGCTGTGTTTTAATATACACAGACAATGAAAATGATCATTTGACATTACATATTAGTGGTTGGCGGGGGGTCAACACATTTCGAGTTTACACTTCGATACCCAATACTATTCACTTGTTACGGTTATTAGGAGAAGATACTTCTAAATATGGTAAATATAAAATGAATATTATGATAAATTTCAACATGTGAATGTAGTTTATATTAGTAACGATGCCAATTCTTTATAGAAGTCAATAAATTTAAGAAAGAAGAACGTGAAGAGGTTTCAGAAATAGCAACAGAAGCCGTATGCTTGGACGAAAAGACAGAAACGGAAGTAAAATAGGAACATATGTTTTGTAATTATTTTAATACAATTATTAAAACAAAGGATCGTATCAAGGAATAAAATTATGTTTCAAATCTTTGTTTTTTATTAAAAAATCACATTCTTCTTCATCTTCTTCATCCAATGCCTCCCTAAAAAGAATGCGTCTCTTTTTCGGTTCCCTTTTTTCTTCTTCTTCTTTGCGTTCCTTTTCTTTTTCTCTTGAACACTTTTCACAGAACCAATCACCTTGAGGAACGCTCTGTAAATAACATTAGTAAAAAAAATACTAAATAATTAGTCATCATTAGAATTATACAAGTCAAATGTCACATTGAACAATAAAACAACTTACATTAAGTTTTGGCTTGAGGCAATATAAATGATGCCCTAAATTACAATTATCACAAAGAAGCATATTTTCTGAATCCCTTTGTCTTCTGCAAATACGACAACGTGCCAATAATGTTGATCGGGACCACATAATACAACCATCAAGAGTGCCATAGTGAAGAAAAATTTGGCTATAACTAGTTGAAGAAAGCAGGGATTTTTCCCAATGCTCAAATAAATCAAATTCCTTCTTCTTGCTTTCCAAATTTTTGATGTCTGCGTGACCTAAGGACAGAGTAATATTAAATATTAGAATACGGAAAGAATTGTTTTAAAATTTTGTTTTTCCATTTCTGAATTTCAGTAAACTACTTTATTTCATATTATAACTTCAATGTACCTAAGATTAGTATCTAGGTTTTAACGTAAAAAAGGACTATAATTAATTGTTAACGGATAAACAAGTATGTTTATGTATATTGAAAATAAAAATTCAACCAACCTAGGGGCTTCTTTAAATATTTGGGATCAACGCTGTGCGCTACTTGTGCTAAGGCAATTGCAAGAGTTTGTATTGATGTTCGTAATTTTTCGGTGGGACATAACATAACTTCTTCACCTCCTTCATCAGAGTCTTCGGATTCAATATCTAATGTTGGTCCCAGAAATTTACCAGGATCACAGTATTCCTTAGGAGGCTCGGGTGTACCAGATCGACTACCTAAATTAGAAAAAAATTAATGTAAAACATTTGTTTAATAAAAGACATTTTTAAAGGAAAAGTGCTCGTGATGATACGAAAATATATCAGGGAGGCTAACCTCCTGCTGTTTTTACAAAATTCTTTACATATTTACTTTTTTACTGTATGAGTAATTAAATTTAATTAATATTAAAAAATCTTATTTGATCGATCATTGTAATAGGAGGCAAGTATTTTACAATTTTGCAAAAAAGTAAACATTTAAGTTTTACTCAAAAATGTTAGAAACAGCAATTCATTTCGTTGATTTCATTAATTTTTCACACCTTGTTTAACAATTTAAGTGTAATTAAGATTTTATCCTTACCATCTTTTTCTCTATTGACTTCGTTCTTTCTAGTAATTACTTTATCCAACTTGTCAAATTCCTTGTTCTGAAGATGACTTCTCCACTCGTTTCGGTCTTTTACATGCAGTGAACCCAAATTTCCGCTGAAAAGTTTTTCCTCCATTTCAATGATGTTGTCAACGAGCGCGGCCTCAAGCACCTCTGCAGTGTCCATCGATAGAGGAAAGCCCAGGTTGGCATCCTCATATCGAGATTTTTTCTGGCTTCTTAGTTTGGTAGATACCTTCGGTTCCACAGTTTCCTCTAATACAATACTTTTATTGAAATGATTAACTGGTGTTTGCGAAATCAAATCCAACAGGTAATCCTTCTGTAGGTTCAACACTTGAAACAGTTCATTCTCTCGAATACCTCGGCGGTTTAAAGACACAAGAAGGGCATTCAACTGTTCTTCTGTATGGTAAAAACCCCAACGTTGACGTTCAACTACAGTGGAGTGTACCAAACAAGTGGAAGGATCAGCGGAACAAAGTAAAAGATCCTGACATTTTTGAACATCCTCTTCATGAAGACCATTGAGGCGAGGTTTATCGATTTCGTTTTCGCGCATTTTTCGCAAGCAGTCTGCCATGTCTTTGGGTTCAACGTCGATAAGGGCCGGATGTTGTTGTACTATGTCGTTTAAACACTTTCCAGCGTTCGGTTCATCAAATTCAACGAAAATACCGGGCAATGATTCGAATTTGAGGTAGCGACGATAAGAGCGGTCATACCCAAGTAATATCTGGTGTTCCGTTGCAATCTTTACGAGTTTTCTTATCTTCTTCAAATATTCACCTTTACAACGTTCGGCTTCTTTTTCAAGTTTGTCCAAGTCACCTGTCACATCACGTTTGTCCTTACGTCCGTCACGTTTTATTTTGAGACATTCAGTTAAAAACTCATGTTCCCGTTTTTTTTCCGCTGTTTGAGCTGCTTTCAGGTCCATTTTCGCCTGACGCGATTTTTCTAAACGTTCGTCGATCTCGTCCCGAATGTCCGCATATGTTAAAATCTGATCGACTAAACAGTTAATGATTTTCACTTTATCACCAATTGCAAGTTGATTTACACTGTTATGAGCTAACGCTCTCAGAATATGTGGATGATGGAGACGTAGATACAAACCAGGGTCGTCTTCACTAGTATAACCACCTCTTTGTTGAAAACGCCATCTACAAATGATCGAGTATGTACGCATATATGTATATAAAATGAAATTAATAAATCAAAAGTCGAATTCTGATATTCCTTATATACATTTTTATACAGATATTCTAAAAACAGAACCTTTAAAGTATACAAGTATAAATAAATGTATTTATTTTATATCTAAAAGCAAATAAAATGGAATTTGAAAAATACGCCATTAAACATAGGTATTACAGAGGACTATAGGCAATTTTGAAATTACTCTAAATTTATTTTCTAATGTTATAATTCTATTATTTGAAAGTTGAATTTTGTCTTACACAATAAATTAGCAGTTGTTACCTTGCTCCTGTTTCGTTTATACGTGCCCCAGAAGCTAACAAATGAAGCCTTAAAATTTCTGATGTGGTTAAGGAATAAAGAGGTAAGCGATTGAGAGGTAGACCCTGATGTTTAGAACTCCAATTTGAAGCCACTGTTGCCAAAGTGGTTGCTTTCGTTAGATTTAAGTTGTCTTGCCAATCTTTATCTTTCACTTCTAATAATAAACAAATTACCATAAGTATAAAAAAAGGGCAAAATCAGTAACTGTAAACTAGGTTTTCATACCTGACATATGCTCAGCACTAATTTTGTATTGAGATGCCTCCTCATCTTGAAGACTAAAAATTGCTGTAAGAAGCATCTGAATTAAATCTGTAAGTGGTCCAGCCACCTGTTAAAGATAAAATGTGCATATTTATCAAATAAAAAAACATTTTATTCTGAAAATATCACCTCTTTTTCCACAAGTGCCCTTTCCATTAATTCAAACGTAATACCGTATGGGAAAAATTTTTTTGTACACAACTGTTTACTAAATGAGTGTGCAAATTCTATAACATTTAATACATCGCCTAGGTACTTTGCAGGTACTTTTGTTATTACTGGTGTTGGAAGCGGTAATTTCTATAATAGTAAATGTAATAATACACTTGAAATAATTGTTTAAATTACTGAAATGAAATAAAAGACTACAAAACGTATAATTTTAAAATAATTACCTTATGATCTTGTAATTCTAAATCTTCTTTAAGTTTGTACCAGTCTTTTACTATAAGTGCCATTTTCATATTTTCTTCCTTCTTCTTCAATTTCTCAGCTTGTTTCTGTTCAGCTTTCTTCTGTTTAAGATCTTCCTTCATTTTCTTGAATTGCTCCTCCTTTTGCCTCATAACTTCCAAAATGTTATTACTTTTATTTTCTTTATTCTTCTGTCCAGTATTTTGAACAATATTATTTTTGGTAAGGAACTTTGCTAGTGTTTCTTGTTTTACCTTTTTTGTACCTTCTGGATTTTTATAAGGTTTTGATGCTTCAAAATTAGGCATAGGTCCAGCAAAAATTTTATCAAACCTTACTTTATTAAGATCATACTGCATTTTTGTAGTGTCTTTTACCACCCAAAATCCATTGCTACTTTGCTCAGTATGGTACTTAATGAAAATTTTATTTTTATCTCGAGTATACACACCTTTCTTTCTTTTAATTTGGTCATAGCTAACCACTTTTATTTCACAAACATCTTCATTATCACTGTCAAATTGTTCTACTTCATATCGATAAAGAGAAGCTGGCAAATGCTTACTTGTATTATTTTGTCTACAAAAAATTATGATTTCTGATAGAATACAGCAAAAAAGGTATTAATGCTAAGTTACCCATTTTTTTGATAAGCATTTATTTCTTCTGCTGTGGGAGCAATAACTTGCAACACATGAGATTCTTTCCATTTTGAACCAGAAAATAAAGCTTCAACATTTTCTCCTATGAAATACCTGTCCTTAATAAACGTAAATACATCTTCTACCATATCACCAAAAGCAGTCCTTTTAGTTTTTGTGATTATGTATAGTAATGGAACTTTAAGATGAGGGCTAAACTCCTTGAGACATTTTTTTGCATTTTCTTCACTTTCTAAGGCCTCTTTGTATGTGAATCCTGTCTTTCCAGTCAATGAACATGTCCAGACCATTGAATTACAAAGAATAATTCTATCACAAAATTGCCTAAAACATTTCCTTTTAATGTAGTGTGTCAAAAACAGATAAATAGAAATAAGACACCATCATTAGGTGAATTTATTTGGCTTTTATAATTTCAGGGACATTAAAAGCCGTTAGTAGAAAACGTGCGTAAGAGATCGTAACAGATACGAAGATACGTATCTCTTAAGGATACAACAAAAGGTACTTACTCATAATCTCGAAATATCTCTCCGGTAATTTCACAGTAATAAACAAGTTCATTGTCATTTGGATAATCAGACAAAGACACTTTTTCGAACGGCTTCTTCTTGAGCAAAGGCATTTTACAAGCTGTAACCTCTTTGGAGGGAAAACTTGCAATTGGGAAAATTACACTTCACAGAAGGTTTACACTGTTCATGCAATTGTAATGCATACCAAAAGACATTAGGGCCTAATATGCGGTTTTAGTGATCGTCAATATACACACAATAAAAATTGACATTTAAAACGTAATTTCATAATAATTTCAACTGTACTTCCGACAGTTACTCGCGGCTTCAAAGTGAATTGACAGAAAATGTCAGATGTCAGACCTGCGCATACAGGCCTTAAAGCAGGTGATGAGGATTTAAAAAACTACAGCTACTAAGGAGAATCATGAGTCTATGGTTATATAGAATGATTGATTAATAAGACCCACCTATGGGTTCATCTTTGTACTATGATCTATGAAATTAGTGAGGTTAGGAATTCAATAAAAATGTTGAAATAACCTAAAATTATTTTTATAATATTTTATGAATTAATAATTTTGTATTTTAAGAAGTGTAATAATCTCCAAAACAATTATGGCCAGAAGAAGATTTCGTAAACAACAAAAGGTAATAAATTAGAAATGTATTGTATAATTACTCCTAAGGATATATTGTAGCCAAAGCAGAATTTAGAAAGAAGAGCCTATGAAAATATTGTTAAAGAAAATGAGAAATTTGTTAAATATTATCAGGTAATGTCGGAGTACTTGTTTTTGGTGAATTAATACAAATTGTCAATTATTATTCAGACTCAGAAGATATGTACAGAACAAGAGTGGGACAGTTTCTTAAATGTTTTAAAAACAGATTTGCCATCGACTTTCAGAATTACAGCATCAAAAGATGAGTCTAAACGAATGCTGGAAATAGTGGAAAAACAATTTCTTAATGACTATCTCAATCATTCTGTTGAAGGGCAAACACAATCGAAAATATTTCCCTTGCCTTGGTAAATAGAATTAAATTCCTATTGTAAGTAAAAATAATATGTGCACATGAATTGTTAGGTACCCAGACAAGTTAGCATGGCAGTTAGAACTTAGTAGGAAAGATATAAGGCGAAATGAAAATTATAACAAGCTTCATAATTATCTTATAACTGAAACAGAAAATGGCACTATATCTCGACAGGAGACTGTTAGCATGATACCCCCTCTCCTATTACAAGTTAAGCCTCACCATAAGGTATTAAAAGTCAAATGAATGATTATAATATTCTTTCTTTACAAAAATAAGTTTTAGGTTCTTGATATGTGTGCTGCTCCAGGTTCCAAAACAGCTCAGTTAATAGAAATGCTACATGCAGGAGAGGAGTTGATACCAAGTGGTTATGTTGTTGCTAATGATATTGACAATAAGAGGTGCTATATGTTAGTCCATCAAGCAAAACGATTAAATTCCCCATGTATAGCTATAATCAATCATGACAGTGCCATTCTTCCTAATTTTTATTTAGATAAGGAAGATGGTTGTGAAGACATGGTATGTTTAAAAAAAAATCGTTTTAGGATGCTTTAAGCAGACATTCTTGAAGGACACATTTTTTACATAAAGTTGATTTTAGGTTCAGTTTGATAGAATTTTGTGTGATGTACCATGTTCTGGAGATGGAACTATGAGAAAAAATCCAGATATTTGGATGAAGTGGACTCCTGCTAATGGCTTAAATCAGCATGGGTATTTTATTTTAATTTGAAAAACTACTAAAAATGTTCTTATTTTACTGTGTTTAAGAGTTCAATGGAGAATTTTAAAAAGAGGAGCTGAACTTTTAGCTGTTGGAGGACGTTTAGTTTATTCAACATGTTCATTAAATCCTTTAGAAAATGAAGCAGTTATTCATAGATTATTGGCTGAATCAGACTGTTCTTTGCAATTAGTTGATGTTAGTAATGCACTTCCTGGCCTAAAATTTACACAAGGTAAATGTTTTCACAAAGAAAACTAAACATAATAGTAATTGGTAACAATCAATCTTAGGTTTAGAAAATTGGCTTGTTGGAAGTAGAGATCTTGAATTTTATGAAAATTTTGAAGAAGTGCCAAGAAAGTGGGTAACTGTTATAAGACCACAAATGTTTCCTCCAAAACCAGAAGACAGAGAGAAATATAATCTTCATAGATGGTAATAACTTAAGTTTTCTAAAAACAAACTGTTCTATAATTTTGATTTTAGTATTCGTATTTTACCTCATCAACAAAACACTGGAGCATTTTTCGTTGCAGTATTGGAAAAAGTTAAACCATTAAAAAATAATCAAGAAAAGGAAGACGATGAAAAAGACGAGTCGCAGAGTAAAGATGATAATAAACGTAAAAAACAAGAAAAGCTTCCTCCTCGAAAAAGAGCGAAATATTCCGGCTTTAAAGAAGACCCTTTCGTATTTTTTGGGGACGATGAAACCGTGTGGCCCGATATTAAATCGTATTACGATATATCAGATAAATTTGATCCTAAAGGTTTATTGACTAGATGTCACACTGGTAAAAAGAAAAATATTTATTTGACTTCCATACCAATGAGGGAACTAGTACTCAAAAATCAGAAAAATATCAAATTTATTAACACTGGAGTACGCTTATTTGTCAGGTCAGACAACAGGAACATGACATGTGCTTTTAGGTATTTTTTTATCTTATTTTTTAAGTATCAAATTAACAGCTCGTACTAGGTATCCCAAGAGTAAAAAATCTTACTGGATTTTTCAACAGGTTAGCCCAGGAAGGGTTAGAAAGTGTTTTTAATTTAATTGGGCCCAAGCGCAAAATTCAAATTACCAAAGTGGATTTGGTGAAACTTTTGTTAAATAACGATCCAAATAATCCCACCCCAACAACTACTTTGACTGAGCCATTACAAGAACAATTAAAAGATTTGGGTAATTATTTTGTATTTTATGAATCGTTATGAAACACTAAGGTGCTTCCACTTTTTTCATTGTTTAAAAAGTTGATAAGCAAAAACAAAATTGAAAAAGTGGTTTCTGTTTTACTTTTTAATAATACAATACAATATTAATTATTTTTGTTTTAAATTAGCACCCGGAAGCTGTGTTTTAATATACACAGACAATGAAAATGATCATTTGACATTACATATTAGTGGTTGGCGGGGGGTCAACACATTTCGAGTTTACACTTCGATACCCAATACTATTCACTTGTTACGGTTATTAGGAGAAGATACTTCTAAATATGGTAAATATAAAATGAATATTATGATAAATTTCAACATGTGAATGTAGTTTATATTAGTAACGATGCCAATTCTTTATAGAAGTCAATAAATTTAAGAAAGAAGAACGTGAAGAGGTTTCAGAAATAGCAACAGAAGCCGTATGCTTGGACGAAAAGACAGAAACGGAAGTAAAATAGGAACATATGTTTTGTAATTATTTTAATACAATTATTAAAACAAAGGATCGTATCAAGGAAT